GCTAGACTTTCTTTAAAGCTGAATTTGAAATATTTAAGTTACATATTGGCATAGAATATTCTCGTAAAGTTTCAAATCCCTAGCTTGACTGGTTCGCATAATTGCTTTTCGTTACCAATATCTTTACGTGCCTGAGCACGTACGCCAGAGTTGATTCCACGCTTACGTAACTACGTATGGCAACAAATATTCTCGGGAAGGCATAGCGCTCTAATCAGCCCCCAATCCCTAAATTAGCATTTTGTCAAAAATCATGAAATCAGTATTAAAGCTAAATTTGAAATTTGTAGCTTACATAAGGGTATAGAACATCCCTGTGAAATTTCAACTTTCCGTTTTGTCTATTCTCCGAAATCGCTTCCCATCCGAAAAACTTCATGTTTTCTTTTAGGCGCGTATGTGATGCCCAAGCTTACGCGAATGATAACTTTAAAACAGAGAATCGCACATGAGGTGGACATAAGCTTTAGAAGCTTTAGCTTCTTCCTCTGTTTCGAGAGTTGAAAATATAGACAACCTCTTGACAATATGCATTTTCGTATTTGCGTAAAAATCAAAAACCCACTATAACATATTACACGGTTTGAAAGAAGTCACAATGAAAATGTTGGAAATCTTTAATATTGAAAAAAACTCAGCTGTCTATCCAAAAAAGAATTCCAACCCTAATGTAGTATCAGTAAATGCTAGCTAGCACTATGACTAGTACTTTAGTAGAGCTAGTGAATGCACAGGCACATCCAGCGTGTAGTGTAGCGCTGCATCGCGGTCGGACATAAGGTTATAACACTTCTATTTCCAAAAAATTTCTAGAAGGTTGTTTTAAACGATTAAGGTTTGATGCCTTTTTAAAAAAATGTATTTAGTACTTGTGACGATTGTCGTTTCTATAGCTTCGTTGTTGTCATCAATTTGCTGTATAATCGGCGCCTTGCGATGGTTTGCCAGTCCAAACTCCGGGCTAGTGAGTCCTGGATTGACTGGTTCCTGGTTAGCACGTTCCGGATCTTCACCGGAACCCTCGCCGGATCCTTCCATGAAAGCATCATCCTGTGCCTTGCATACTGAAAAGATGAGGAAGAGGAACCAGGACGCCAGTAAAGTCATGTCTGCAGGAGCAGCAAATTGGTCACTGCTTTACATGATCCTTTTATCTGCCATACCCCGTAAATGGGGTCTGTAGAATAAAAAAGCCTGTCGGGTCTGCCCTTTTCCCTCCCCCAGTCTGGCGTCTTCATTCCTATCTTTCGTGGATGCCGAGTATCACATCCTCACCTCTCCAGCAATCCATTCAAATCCTATTCAAAACTGTTGTTCTCCTCTCTCATTTCCCTGCCTGATACGGCGATTATTTTATGCATACTGTATCCTGAAAATGAATTGTTTCCTTTCTCATTTTTTTCGATATCAAAATCATCCGATCTCCGATGTGTTTTCCCTGTTCCGTTCGACTTACCATTGAGAAAGAACGCATCCATTCCATGTGTTAAATTAAACCATTTATTAGACCTTGCAAATTACACATTTCGTTTCGTTTAATTTTCCCACAAGGTACTGTCGTTGTGTCACCAAGCAGCACAGTTTAGCCATACAACAAATAGTTCTTCGAAATGGAAAAAGAACTGGAGCACATCCTCAGTGAACAAAAAACACACAAGTGTATTGAGAAACAAAAAGTGATTTTTTCTTCGTTACAATGCTGCAAGTGGCTTTTTCAAGTATGAGGTCCACTGCAGGAATTCCGCAAAAACCCAACACTCATGCACCCCATAGGCGGATTCAGGACGGACTCCTGAGGGGCAACGGAAAGTAAGAGGGGCGGCGGGCAAGAGAGTGTGGCTCCTGGTCGGGGAGAAGGAGGAGGGGGGGAGGGGG